ACATACACATACATATATACATACATACACACACACTTACACACATAAATACATATACCAGTATATACAAAGCGTTGACGAAACAGTGTCTGTATTTTCGAGACCATTAATTCGTTCGTTTTGATTTTCAACTGTTGGGTGGGGGAGGAGGGTGGTGGCAATGTCTTATATTATGAATTACAATCATATACATAAAATGACTGGGCAATTGAAAATGATCTAATAGTTTTATCTGCTTTTGTACCGGTAAATTTCAAATATTTTTAGACAAATAAACCAATTTGTTGATGTATATTTGTCTAAAAATATTTGAAATATGATGAAAATGGCTACACAATAGCTTTATCAGAAGAATTTAAAAAAAATCTACTAAGCTTCTATGGGTCTGTTATTTTGAACAACTAAACAGCCCTTATGCATACGCAACTTTCAACTATGGTGTTATAAAAGCCATTAGCAGCCTATTTCTTCACTTCTTGATAGGAAAAATTAAAAATTCCGCCGTATCATTCCAAAACAAAATATTCCAAGATCCCGAGATGTCATTAAAATCCCAAGATCTTGGGATAAATCCCAAGCAGTGGTCACACTGCAGAGAACTCTTGTCTGGCAGGGGAATGTACTGCTTCCGCGTTCTTTTGTTCAAGCCACCAGGTAGAGGAAGTCCGTGAACGCGACAAAGTAATAAATGGATGAAATTTCCTCCTTTTAAATTAAAAAGTAGTTAAAATAAAACTTAAAGAAACAATTAAAAAATGATGCAGAAAAGGCCGCCCATTGCAGATTGAATATGGTGCAGCACAGCATCATCATTATTGTCATTATCCGTCATCATCAATATCACCATTATCTAATTAGAATTAGTATCATTATAGTTGTGACGTCCGGCATGCTGAAGAAAATCCAAATTTAAGTCTGAGAGTGTAATTTCCGGTCATCTAGAAGTGCCTTAATCATAAATTACCAAACCATGAAGGGGCTGAGGTGGGTGGTTCCTCGATGTAAAAGTCCCTCCCTGGGTCACCACTCTGTTGAATTCCTGAATCCACCACTGTTGAGTTTTATATAATTATTGTTAAGCTTATAATATTTATAATGCGTTTATTGCAATTTTCAATTTATCAACTCAAAACAGCCCTAAAAAATTTCAGAGCGTGCTACTTTTCAGGGGGCTTCTCCCCTGGGCCCTCCACGGGGTCCTACGTACCTCGCATAACGGCTCCCCACCCCGCCCATTTTCAAAATCCTGGCTACGTCCCTGCCTCTGAGGCGTTTTTAGTTATAGTTGCGTTTGACGGTGGCGTGGCAGATGATTAATATTAATGATACTGAATGTGACGAGGCGCCCTAATTCATGAGATAACTTTGTTTTTGTACACTGATATTCAAACGGAAAATTGAAATAGTGTATTGGCTGGCATAGACATATGATACCGTCAAAGAACAGAGATCATTCGAAGAATAACTCCATGCCTGAATGAAGAACAAAAGTAGACATACGCTAGGCCTAGTGACTACTGCAAACAATGACGTATAACAGCAGTCATCCATTGAAAATACCAGTTCTTCTTATCACTGAAAGTGCTGTACGCGATATTTTGAAAGACACCAGACGACAATCAAATCTGAATAAATGCGTCAACGAACTTCTTAACTGCTATTCTGGCTCATCGTTGTCTAGTGGTAACGGAGATATAGATTTTGACAATCCAGTGTACCAAGCATGTTATGTGTTTCTTTATTTCCCTGTATTGTGCTACAGCACATTCTATGGTTTGCTAGAGTGTTACAATCAAGGTGATTTTGGAAACCTGTTGAAAAGGGCCGAAATAGACAACTGTCTAAAGGTGTGTGCATTGGGTGGTGGCCCAGGAACAGACTTATTCGGTGTCAGAATGTTCTTAAACGATATCGGATATAAAAGCTTGCCCATTAAAGCGATTGTTCTCGACAAACACGAAAGATGGAGTTTTGCATTCCGGTGTTTAATATCTAAACTTCGTAATCCATCGAGATTATCTGCCGAGTATTTTCGTTTAGACGCCAACTGCCAGAGTAATTTAACCGTTCATTTAAATTCTATATTAGCCAACGCCGATCTAATTACATGTAGTAAGTTTGTATCAGCTGTGAAAGCGCTACCCAACTCAAAAAGAGTGATTGTAAAAACGCTAAAACGGGCTAAGCCTGGTGCGTACATATTCTATGTAGATAATTCGAAAGGAGGTAACACAAAATACTTTCGCTCGGTTGCACAGCTTGCAAACTACACTGAAGTTTCTTGTTTCGAACGAGGTGAAGATAATCCATTTCGGCTTCCCAGCACAGAGTATTCAAGCATTCTAAGAGATCTATCTAGCAGCACCTGGTTCGACTTAAATTCACAACGAAACCTTCGAATTACTTTCATGCTGTGGAGAAAGAATGGTCAGGTTACACAATCAAACTCTAATAATGAACAACTTAATCAGTCTAACAAAACAACAGCAACTTCACAAAAAACAAGTTATGCAGGTGCTGTACAGAATACAATATCAGTGCCTTATCGTAATAACTTCGAAGAGTCAAAAACTCGAATGCAGACGGCAAGCAATCATAATGTTTCTCGACAACATGTTTGGTCACAACATGGGTCAGGTTCATCTGAAAACTTTACACAATCAAACTCTAATAATGAGCAACTTAATCAGTCTAACAAAACAACAGTAACTTCACCAAAAACAAGTTATGCAGGTGCAGTACAGAATACAATATCAGTGCCTTATCGTAATAACTTAGAAGAGTCAAAAACCCGAATGCAGACGGCAAGCAATCATAATGTTTCTCGACAACATGTTTGGTCACAACATGGGTCAGGTTCATCTGAAAACGTTACACAATCAAACTCTAATAATGGACAACTTAATCAGTCTAACAAAACAACAGTAACTTCACAAAAAACAAGTTATGCAGGTGCTGTACAGAATACAATATCAGTGCCTTATCGTAATAACTTAGAAGAGTCAAAAACCCGAATGCAGACGGCAAGCAATCATAATGTTTCTCGACAACATGTTTTGTCACAACATGGGTCAGGTTCATCTAAAAATGTTATCCTGACGAGTGGTCGTACAAATGGAGTACTGACATATGCACAGACTTCTCAAACACCCGCGCGAACGGTAAATCAACCGTATCACAACAGTTTTTTCAATGACCGACCGGATAACCCACTGCGAAATTCTGATAGTTTAGAAGCCTCACAATCCAGTTCAAGTACATCATCAGTTAAGAGAGGCCTATGCCAATGTTGTATCTTGCTATAAATGTGACTCTTTCATAACGTAAAATGTTTGCATGGACAGATGTCGTAGTAGATTATGTCAACAAATACAATATACAAAAATACACAACTATTAATGGGGCACCTTCGTGACCAATGAACATATTCACTTGACGTTTTGAGAACAAAATATAGTAAAATTTCTCCATTATTACGAATTACGTATATTATGGGTTTTTGGCATGCAGTCATAAAAATTAAAACAAATATAGTATGATAGGTTCTTTATTCATTAATTTTGTTGACCTACAGACAAGTAACAATTTATCTTTGAACCCAAGTTAATTACATTTGATATAAAATCAACATGAATATAATTTAAAGACAGGAATTGTGTATATTGTTTGATGATTCTCAACATATTATACTGTTATTTTTCAATCTCTCTATTGCCTTGGGAGAGGTCCCTTCTAAATCGAAGTGGGTAAAATTATTCCATTTAACAAACTTGGGGCCAAATATAACTATTAACTATTATAGATATATTTCCATTCTATCTACATTAATGAAATTCGTTGAACGAATTATACATTCATTTTCATTCTTACCTTCTCAGAAAAAAATCATCTTCTTTCCACACATCAGGTTAGTTCCCGTCCATTACACAGCACTGCTACTAATTTTCTTCAGTGGTTTTATTCTAAATAATACTGATAATGGGATGTAACTACCGTATTCTACCAAATCCAGTTCTGAATCTGGTGGAAGAACATTTTGTTTTAAGGTACTCAAATTTGAAATGCGGAGTGGGGATTTGTTAAATTTTTTTTTCATCATTCTGATATTTTAATGTTTTTTTATATCTATATATTTTGTGTTGACATTCATGTTATATTTAATGTTTTATACGTACTGGACCCTCTGCGAGAACAGTAACATTTTACTGAAGAGTTAACCTAGTATAAAGAACAAAAATAGATAAATATTCGATTTCATTATCTTTTTTTTTATTTCATGTTACAAAACCACTTTTATTTGCCATAAATACATAAAACAAATCATAAAAAAATAAGGTAAATAATAGGCCTAATTACAATACACAAAACTCATATTGTTTTATTAGACCAAAATTTATAACAAATATTCTTGACATAAATAAATTAAATTATGTTATTATGTTTTAAATGTCATTATAAATTATAATATGCATGTCCAGTATAACAGAAAATTATAAAAATAAAATAAAATGATAAAATAGAATATGTACTATAATTATCGTTACCATTACTAATTATCATTATATACATATCAGTAAGCAATATAACAATATTCATTGTATTCTCCAATGAATAATATTTTAATATAATTAGCAAAACCAGAAAGACTATGAGTTGTAACCTTAGAAATAATACAGTTTGGAGTAGTTTCAATGAGTCTTGAGACATTATATCTAATAGAGTGTTGCAAAAACATGATTAACTTTCGGTATTTGAATATTATATCTATCCCGAGTGTTGAAGCTATGTATTTCAGAAAAAGGCACAGGTGTCATACTTCCAAACTAAATTGGTAACTGATTATTTTTTAATTTAGAATAGAACTTTAAGGTTTGAAGTTTGTGAATATCATCAACTTCCGATAAGTTGAGATTTTTAAATAATTGATCTGTTTGTGCATTGAATTTACTATTGGAACAGCCTTTTTCTGTAACTTAAGAAGCCTGGCAGTATGGTGACCACAGAGTAAAATTCCGTAATTTATATGAGACAAAATAAGTGATGAATAAATAGTTTTAAGAATATTTGAAGGAGGAAAATGCTTAAGTTTGTTTAAAATACCTACAGATTTGGATATTTTGTTTCCAATACCATTGATGACTGTCCCATTTTAAATGCTTATTGATTATAATACCGAGGAAGTTAAAGTCACAGCATTGATTCATTATGAATCAATTACATTTTTCAGTGAACTCCATTTCTTTAAAAAAAAAAAAAAAAATACCTTCTTTGAAGGTAACCAGGGCAATATATTTCTCCATTTCATAGTATTTTTCTTTTTATATTTTTAAAGCATAGATATGCTTTATTGGGAATAATGACGTCCCGTCTGTTAAATCATACAAGTATCTCGGTGTAATGCTTAGCTCTGATCTTTCTTGGAGCAAGCACGTTGATTATGTTATTTCTCGGGCCTCCAAGACACTTGGACTTATTGCAAGAATTTCGGGTGACCCTAAGGGCAATCTTGCATATCGAAATCTGTATTTTGCTCTTTGCCGTCCCATAATTTAATACGCGGTGCCTGCTTGGCTACCTTATAAAAAATGTCATATTTCAAGCCTTGAAAAAATCCAACGTCGTTACACTAGAGCGTACCTTGGCGGGCCGTGGAACGAACGACCTTCTTATCCTGATAGACTTCGGATATATGCTATTCCATCACTCCACGAACGTTTCATGATTCTTCATTTATCTTTTATCATTAATTGTCTCTACATGAAAAATTGTGTTGATGTTACTAATATTCAAGTTAATTGCCGTCATGTTACAACACTTAAGTTTATTGAAAAGTTCGCTCGTACCGATGCTTACAAATTTTCCCCATATATATTTATTTTAGCAAACTTTTTAATTCCCTCCCTGATGAAGTTAAATGCTCCTTGCTTTTCTCGAGCAACTATTTCATTAAAGTTGCAAAAATATTTCTCCACCAAAATGTTGAGATTCATTAATTCTGTAAGTGCCTGTTTGATCCTGATTTTGTATCGTGGTCACTTAATAATTATGAGATCCCTTGCAATAATATTTTATATTACAATCTTTTAATATTTAATATTTTATTTTTCTAAATGATATATATTTTATCTTTTGTGCTGTTTTCTGTGTGTTGAGTGCTGCCTTGGAGAGCCACATGATAGTGACACTTTTGTGTACTTTTGGTTATCCTGGGTTGGCAGCACTCTTTGTTTTTGTTTCTGTTTTTATTGTCTTTTTATTGTAATTTTGATTGTAATTTTAACCCGAAATAAATTTGAAATTGAAATTGAAAATATATGGAATGGTGTCTTGCATTTTGCTCCGATGTGTAAACGGCAGAGGGTTTGAACAGTGTTGATTGCCTTCATTCGAAGGTTTCTAATTCCAAACAAACATAGTTCCTCATCCTGTATTATAGTTAAATTACAAGTATTTTTAAGCCATATTAAAAACAGTTCCAAAAATGAAGACTAACATGGCATGAAAAAAAATGTGTTTCTTCACTTTTGTTGCAACAGATACAGGTATTGTTTTCATATACACCGATTTTGACTAAAGATGTAATACCTAGCATCCTGTGAATGATTCTGTATTGAAACCATCTTAATTTAATATCATTAGTGAAACTGAAAGTGACATTTGACAGTTTTGTTATTTGAAATTCCTATACTGTGTCTCTCTGCTATTTTGCTTTATATCTTTCCTTATAAACCAAATTAGAACAAAACACCTCAAATATTCTCCTAGACCCTTCAATGGTCTTTTAAAATCACTTCAATATTAAACGGAAAATGATTTAACCCAGTATAAAGAACAAATAGATAAATATTATAATAATATTTATTTTATAATTCTAGTCATTTTAAGCTAATATCACACCGCTATTGAATACAGGTTTTTCTGCATTGGATTCTGGTGGTTTAAAAATAAGACCACTGATCGATCGATCGATCGGTCGGTCGGTCTGACGATTGATCGATCTATCGATTGATTGATTGATTGATTGATTTTTACACAAAATGAAAATACACTGTACCTCATTTTGTAAAAAAAAGCGTTCTCTGAATTCCTTGACTGCAAGTATTTCAAAAGAAACACATATAAAGGCTACAGTACGTGCAGTCAAGATCCGCACATTTTTCAAGATACATGAAAAATGTGTTTGCTAGTCGACTGTCTCA